TCTCTGAAACAAGCTCTCTTCAAAGCTAAAGAATCTACGCTGCTGTTTGCAGTATCGAACCTCTGTTTTGACCCTATTCTGTACTACCACCTTTCCAAATCGTTCAGGTTGAAATTCACTGAGACTTTCGCAGCACCCAAAGAGGCAAAGGCTTTCACAGACGAAGAGGTCCAACACGGAAGTGAACAGCAGGTTCAACCGTACTGATTCTGAATAACATCAGCAGAGTGTGCAAATCCGCAGGATAAACGGGCCGGCGTGCGACTGCAGGCGTGGCTACCGTGGCCAACAACGTTCCTGCTCAGTAAGCCCAAGCAGAAGGAAAAAAACCTCAAACGATGCCAACCACTTCGTTACACGTTCACACAGTAGGTCTGATCTAGCAGAACGTTTGATAATGCCTGTCAGAAATCATTCCATGTCTCAGTGATGACCTGCCACGGATCAGCAACACTTGGGAACACAACATGATCAGACAGTCTCAAACATGCCTTACAATTATTTATGTCGAACATGTGAACTCACCTTTTCCAAGTTAAACATTGTATGCTCACTATATTCAATGACTCGGTGCAAACAGGTGAAGAGATTATTTGATAGCAGTGCATAAGCTGCAAAGTTTTCACAGATACAGTTCATCCAAAAGCATTTTAGAGGGCATTATTTACTCCAGAAAGTGATTTTAAGCTGCACTGATGAAAAATTATTGTATCCGCTTACATCGCGCCTGCAGTGTTTATAAATAAATTTCTTGCCTTGCCAAGTTCCGTCGCCTTTCCTCGCTCCTGCTTCAATGCATGTGAAAAAGCTAACAACGTGTATTACAGAACACTCAAGGGAATTCTAAAATTCAGATAAAGTATAAATATCCAGTGAGTTCTCTTGGCTTGTTTTATTCATAAAAATTTAGAAAACAGCAACTACGTTTATTAATATTCTGATGTACAATTACTTCAAAAAATAATGCATATGTAGAAGAGTCAGTAATCAAAATTTTTTAAATCAATTTGCATAGGCAAAACGCAGCTACCTGGATTAGCTCCATCTGTAAATCAAAAATATTTCAGGAACAAAACCAAACCAAGTTAGTTAGTCCTTCCCATGGGCAAAAGACAGATCAAACTTTAGGCGAGTATTCAAAACTGTCCTGAACAGAAACAGCTCATTCAGCATTCTCATAACAATCCACCTGCAATAAATCAGAATCCAAACTTTGTGGAGCAAGAAATGTAATGCAAACAGAACTGTGGTTATCACACCATACTCTCACATGACACTTCCTGTATTGATAGGATTTAATATTGTTAAAACTTAGCATTGTTGTTTAAAAAAAAAAATAATTCTCGAGTAGACACGTTCCTGTTTGAGGCTTATTCAGTATTTGTGCCCTTTTTCCAGCACAGTAGAAAACACAAAAAGTCATCTGAACGAGGGTTTGGGACCCGGAATGTTATTCATGGGGCTTTCTTCAGTTCCCATGAGCCTACAGACAAACACAACAACAGCAGCAGCCAAAAAGCCCCACTAGGAACAGGGAGGAGTGGGTGGAAGGAAGTAACACCGTTCTGCCCCTTACCTTTCAGAACTATTTCTTTCAGATATTTTGGTATTCATCCGTCTGGCCAACTACAATATCAAATTTTCTATTTGCCAAACTCTTACGAGACCCTGGAACACGGTTTTATTGTGGAGCCTGTCTCCTTACTCCAGTAAGTCATCACGCACTACGATACCTCCCAGGCGCTCTCCCAGCTAACCCTCTTTTGATGAAGCACAGACACTGGTGTGTCACACCGAAGCCACCCCGTGGCACGCGGCGCTGGCAGCAACGGCGTCACACGGACCGGCCTGGAGCCCTCGGGAAAAGCTCACCCAGCCCAGCTCCTCTTTTCGGACAGCTTTTCTCCCTTTGAGCGCTGCGCCGTCACGGCGGGCAGCGCCGCTACGCACGCAAGTACGGGGGTCACTCACCAGCGGGATGGGGAAATGCGTGGCGTACTGCAAATGGCGAAGCAGGTCGTAATTGGATGGAAAAATCAGTTCTCTCAGTCTTTCCCTCTTGACTGACTTCTCGCTGGTAACGGAAATTCTTCTGTCTAAAGAAGAGCTCACGTTCTCACAAGATTCCCCAGGCGCCGGAGAAAAAATCTAAGTCATGTAAAACAAAAGTTTAAGGTAAGTGTAACCTCCAGCTTTCGACACTCAGCAGCCGCGTTCAGATACGGTTTTGCTCTTGCTGACAGCTACTTTTTAAACGTCTGAGGCTTCCAAAGATGGAAAAAGCCAGGGCAACCGTAATCAAGCCTGAAATGTAGCATACATATACACATGATATCTCTATGCATTTCTCCTTTGTTATTAGACAAGTTTTAACCCAGCAGTGTTCAGTCAGGGAAAAAAGCATTATGGTTCAGAGCGACCTCCACACTTCTTGTGCCGCTGGGACACAGAAACCACAATGACACCGTCCAGTGATCGAGGGAAAATAATGAAAAGGCTGAAGTGGGAGGTGACAAGAGACGCTGTAGGCAGGCGTGGATATGCTTGAAACCACCATCGTGACAGATGTCAGGCAGAAACAGCGTCCCTCTATCCTGCAAGTGCATCTGCACGGACAGGTCTGGGCACAGGAGTCCGTGCGGATGCAGAACGAGGACCAAAGGAAGAGACGAGGAGATTCAATGCAAAATCAGGCTAATGGTAAGAAGAAACAGAAGGGAAGCACACTTGGAAGACAGAGCCAAGACATAGAACAGTCACTTGAAAAGTAAACAGTATCAATTTGGGGTTCCTCGATATCAAAGAAGTGGGCAAATCTGCGCATTTATTCATGCTTCACTGTAATACACAGCATTCCAAATACGCTGGAGGCAGGGGAGAGGAAGGAAAGGAGGGAGAGAGGAGCGTGCGTGCAAGCCTGCGTGTGTGCAGGTGGACAAGTAGGAGAAGCACAGAAGAGCAGTGAGTTGTCAGACAGCAGAGATGCAGAGAAGGGAGGCGATGCACCGACACGGGTGACGGCAGGGACTGGGTGCCACAGGACGCCGGCTGTCGATGGAAAGGGCAAAGCGATGCTAGGGGCACGGAGACACATGCAGTGACAACAGCAAGCAGCAGACGCAGGCATCAAAGACATGCAGAAAATCAAAAGTTAAACCTACTGGAAATTCCGAACCAAAATCCGCCTTAAAGTCACTCTTGTCTACATCATCAAAAATACTAGTGGTTCCTGAGTCAATGCCCATATGCTCCATAATACTATGATCCTAACAATTGCCAGAGAGAAAAAACAAACATCAGTTACATTTTATTGAAGACCCATTTCACCAATCACAGGTAAATCCAAGCATTCCACTTATTTAAGAACTAAGAAAAAGTATCGATGGTAGGAAGTTTTCAGATACTGACTTTTGAATCTTTTCGGTAAGCCTTAATTCACAAAAGTATTTCTCAGGCCTAAATCCACAAAAGCACAGAAAAGGGCAGGAGCCAGAGGGGGAAACAAAACTTTACAGTATGTCCCCATGGGCAATTCTGCTCCAGGGGCGCCTACAGATCAGGAAGCTGACTCTCGTACCTTCCCAGGATTTATTTCCCACTTTGTCGTACCACAAAAGGCAATCTGTAGAATCCCCCTATGTTTCAGGGCACATTTGGCCATGAGACCGACGTAAGAGGTGCACAAAAGAAACTAAAAAGAAATATGAGAGGATGCTTTAGCTGGCCACAGGCTCCACACGGACCGCGCAGCAGAAGAGGGTCCACCTCATCACACGAGCACACGCATCGGCTGCAGTCTCGCGTTCCCAATCGCCCTCCTCTGCGCTCCCTTCAGAAAAGGTTACGAGCTGCTCCTCTGATGGGAGACTCAGGATTGCACCCGGACAGCGCGCGTACGAGCCACGGGCTGCGCGTTGCGCCCACATGCCAATGTCAATGCCAATGCCAGTGCCGGTGTGCCCCGCGCGACACGGAGCACGCGCAGCTGATGCCAGGCTCCTCCTGCCTAAAGCTCACCCTGCTCTTCAGTGAAGCAGATCTGCAAATAAGTTTTTCCCCTGGTACATTTAGAAGTCTGTATTGTGCCTTTCTGTTCACCCCGAGTTATTCAGATCACCAGAGAACTGTCAGTTCAACACATCTGCACCAAAACGGCAATATTTACAGCTACATACAAGAATGAAGCTAACGGATCACTTCCAGTCTTCTCAAAGAGAGACAAAGAGACAAGGAGACACAGATTCCAAAACTTCATATCTCACATGTGAAATACCAACGCTTCAGTGGGAATCTACATTTAACAAAATGGAATATCAAACATGGGAGAAACAGCATGAGGTGTTACCTCCAGTTTCCCATCATGATCCTTGGAATAGTGCTCATCCACAGTTTCCCCATTAGGTGAACGTGGTCTGGGAGTTGCAGTGATTGACAAGTCTCCGCGTGATATCAAAGTGCACATGTACGCGTCATGGGAGAAAACATCGTGTCGAGTGAATTCAGAAAAAAGCAGCACCAAATTCACAAACTCTGTCTTCTCATGGTCACTATTTGGGTCAGCTACCCCCCAAAAAAAAAAAAAAAAAGTTAGATTGTCGTTTCAACATACAAATATTTGGGTTTCCACTACCCAAACCGCAAACCCCAGTAAATCAATTTTAAAGGCCTATTAAAAATGTCTCGGGCATCTTGCACAGGTTTCTTTGTCCCCACAGAGCAGATCGTTTCCCACGGAATTTCCATGGTTTTGCTTTGCTATCAGCTCCAGACGTGGGACAGACTCCAGACAGCAGCGGATTCCAGAGCATCCCACCCCACACACATCTGCCCCTGTCGGGTGTGTGTCAGCAGTTAAGTACAATGTTCAAATTCTTTTAAAAACTCAGAAGAGGGGGAAGGGGGAAAGGACATTCCTTGTGTGAAGAAAACTTGTGGCTGAAGCTTTGGATTGCAACAGACCACCTGATGGTTGTCCTTTCCTCCCAAATTCTGCTACTATAGTAAATGTTACTTGTCTTATCTATAGTACTTTTGTATTCTTAACACAGACTCTTCTAAAACATTTTCAGAGAAATCACCACCCCTGCAGGCCAGGCCCCCGAGATGTAAAAGCAATATTTCATTCAAGTTTGCTAGTGCAGCGTCTGTCACCTAATAAACACGCTCATGCACATCAGGAAAAAGTTTATTAGAATAAATGCACATTATTTTGCAGTGACAAAGAGAAGCCTGGAGAAACACAACACATAAAATGTTGTTATGAAGTTTTCATTTGTCCCAGCTAGATTTAATTTGACTTGTTCTGTAACACAGAAAGGTTTGCAACACCGCAGTTAACAGCAAACAGCTCTATACCACGCCACCTCTATCGGGCAACAAAACCTCCAGCTACAGAACTACCAAACCTGAATCAGCACCATTTATTTGAAAGCAAGTTATGCTCCACAAGTTCAAACCAGTTCAACAGATAACACTATTTCTACGTAGGTATTGTCAGCAGCTGCGACAGCAGGACCAGGGGCACCCCAGTCCCGGGTGGGAACGTCCCTCCACAGCCCCCAGCCCCCATTTCTCCTGCGGATGGAGGCAGAAGAGGGCCCC